AAAAATTATGACTGCCGGAATTGGCGGCGAACTGAGGATGCGGCTGAGGAAGTGATATTTGGCAACGCAGCAAAAGTTCAAAGCCAAGCAACTGTTGCTTTTGGCCACAGCTAAGCACACACAAACCCTCGCATTAATGTACACACATACATTTGCACGTTGCAAACTTTTCAAATAGAAAATGTTTAATTTCCCCAAAGACAACGTCGATGCGGCTGCCAAAACGCAGCGTTTGCCAGCAAGGCTAAGAAAACTTTCTTTATATTTTACAATGTGTGTGTATCTTTGTGTGTGTATGTGTGTTTGTGTGTGTAGGACTATCCCAGTCCATGGTTGCTGCAACAGTGCAGCCAAAAAGTTGTTCGGGCTCGGGCAAAACTTGAGGGCGTCTCAGCGTCAAAGTCGAACTTGTTCGTTTGCCTTTGCGTTGAAAATTATATTATTTTCGAACTTTTCAAATGTCGCCAGAGAGTCCCATATTCCGCTCAACACTAGTGACAAATTGTTGCTCTGTGTGTATGTGCATGTGTGCTGTTTAATTATCCGCATACAGCTAATGAACCATCCAATAATTATTTCATAAGTATTTAAATATTTGCATCATATCACACAGCTATAATCCAGTTAGGCGTCGGCCTTGTTTAAACAAACAATATTTTGTGCTATTCAAGTGCTTACAAGCTGAGGATATAATAGTCCCAAAGTAAGTTTCCAACTTTCGTTTGTCTGAGATTTTCGACTGAATGCAAAATGCACAAAGTTGTCGCATAATTTAACAGTTTCAGGCAATTGAATTTATAGTCGTTGTATTTGTAGTTCATAAAGTGCCACACTTAATTAAATCCACAAACTGAGGGGAACACTTAACAGTGAGAAGGCTCTATTTACCGTGAAAATCCCTACTATTGGCGCTAATTACTTCAATTGCCCCACATTTTCTTTAATAGTTTGAGGTCAGCTGGGAATTTATAGTCGTATTAATCATATTTAAAACTTGTTTCGAGGTCATTCGAACTCGAAACAATACACTCAATTAGCAAAGGATGCGATATATATTTTATTTAATAAACTTCAATTTAATAGAAATTTAAATTTGTACCAAACTTTAATTTAAGGACTGTAGATTGACGTGCTGTGCCGTGCTTAAATCAAAATATAAGTCATAATACAAAGTATAACAACTACTGTGTTCTTATTTCGGGCCTGGTTTTTCAACAGTATAAAATACACGAGTTTAAATGTGGACGGAGAATATAGACAGACAAGGTTAAGTCGACATTCTTTCGTAATGATAAATTGATAATGATATATATTTGGCATTTCTCCAGAAAGGTCAACAACAGCCAAAACATTCAAAGTCAATGAAACATGTTCTGCTAACATATTTTTGATAACTAATCCATCAAATTTAACTAATATAAACCAGTTTTACATTTTATCATAATACATCTCGAAATATTGAGACACAAAGCTGAACAAGAGCAAAAGTTCTGTTTTGAGCATTTCTATTGCACATCTTGTTCGTATTATTGAGATACTATGCAATGAAATATGATACTTCGAATTTTTTCTATTTTATTATAATTAATAAATTGAATATATTGGAAATCATTTCTAATGATTTTATTCATGTAAAATTACTAAAAAATTAAAAAAAAAGTATGAAGGCTCTAGTCGAGACTGCTCGACTAGGAGATACCCTGAACCCTCTAAGCTGATATTCTACTCATTCTGCACTTCTTTTATGCACACATACATATACACGCACGTAAATCACGCGCTCTGCTGACTGCGCAGTTAGCAGCGACAGCGCTTGGGCTGTGCTGCAGTGTGGGAAATATTATGAGATTTTATTTGTTGAATAATTTCATTTGTAGACATACAATTACGTACGTGTGGATGCGTCTTATCGGATGAGTTATCGAAAAAATATGATAAACTTGTACTGCCTATGGTATACACGAGTATGCATGCCAAATTTCAGCTCTCTAGCCCTTATATCTTCTGAGATCGTTTTGCTCATACGGACGGTCGGATGGACAGACGGATATATACTTTATGGGGTCTGCGATGATTCCTTCTGCCTGTTACATACTTTTCACAAAACCATTATACCCTGATTTACCACTTTCAATGGGTTCAGGGTATAATGAGTAGAATATCAGCTTGGAGGGTTCAGGGTATATCCCAGTCGAGCAGCCTCGACTGCAGCCTTCTTACTTGTTTAATGTTACAAACTGCATCTAGATTATTGTGAATGTTCAGTGGCACCTTGAATGCCGAATGAGCTGTTATGCGTCCATATGCTACAATGTCAGATGATGCAACGGCTAATGCGATGCCTTTTATTGCTCGTATCTCAGCAAGAAGTAACGAAATAGGGAATATTTTGCCACTCATAAAGTAAATTTGTAAACATTTTTAAGGTTGTTAAAAGCTTATAAGGTTAAATTGTTGACCATTTGCAGCAGTATTTTCTACTATTTCCGTTGCTCCAAACGATCTCATTTGAAAACACGAATTGAACCAATAAGGAAGCCGTGCAATGGTTCCGGCGGTGTATCAATTTCTGGGAGTTTTACTTTTCCTGATGAGCAACATATCCCGATCGGCTCATTTTTAAATTTAAGGGCATTTCTTGTCGGATGTACCAATGACCACTATGGAATGAGCGTAATATTTAACATCAGGCTCATACTGAAATGCTCGAAGTACTTGTTGACGTTGTCTGTCAATTCCTCTACGTCTGTTGACTATTGCTTACACGGACATCTGCATTGTTTTGTTGCCTTTCTTCAGCTGATCTTTGTGCTCTGCTACCTTGCATGCTTCTTGACTTGAGTGTTCGACGACTCAAATTAGCCCCCTTGGACGCTTTAAGCTGAGTCGGTATAACCGGATTCCACTGTATTTTATTTAAAATCAATTACCATATTGTTCAGCATTGAAATTGTTATATACTAGCTATAAGATAAGAAGACTGCATTGTGAAGCGACAAGAGAATAGGTCCCATTCATTTTTATATTCTCGCTACGATTCATGATTCAATCGACAATTCGGAAATGTTAGCCTTAAGAGGTAAGAGATTACCGCGCTGCATTGCTTTGATGGCAATCCTGGAAATCTGAGCCTGACAGGCTAACAGTCATTGAAAACATTCTGTAGTCTAACCTGAAATAATTAATTATTTTTGATTAGTTACCAATAAAGACAGGAACTGCAAATATATTAATAGTATGAAGTTGGCTCTGTAAGCATTTAAATGTGAGTCGTGGTGCTGCGAGCCGAAGTAATTCATTGAGTTCTTGGGATATTAGACAACCACTAATTGCGCACAGAAGCTAAAGGATCTGGGCTATTTAGCCTTGAAGCCGCAAATATGATTGCTTTTGTATCTGGCTGGTGGCAGTGAGACCCCTTTTCGGCCATGAGTATATCATGTGTTTAGGGGCATTTCGTCCTGTCCTGCTGTCATCATATTCACTTTGATATTTTCCTTTCAATTTCAAGTCACTTGGCCAGATTAAATGGCCAACCTGCTGCCTCAATTTATGCAGCTGCTTCTGCTTCTACTGCTGGTGCAGCAGCTTGTGGTTGCGTGGGCGTAGGCGTAGGCGTGGCGTGGGCGTTACCCTGAACGGGGGCGGGTAGGGCCTGATGCGTTTGCCTTTGCGGCATTTAGATGGATAGAAGGGCATCGAAACTGCCAACTCAAAGTGGCAAGCGGCTACGTCAGCTGTTGACCATATGCATTGCGTACATGATAATCACGTTTGGGTATGCGCCTGTGTCTTGCCGTTGCCGTTGCCGTTGCCGTTGCCGTTGCTGATGTTGCTTTTGTTGCATGCGTTGCATTGCATTTGCATTTCGGCCTGCTAAGGCATGTCGTGGTGTGGTTTATTGCAACATCTTGTCCAATTTATTACCACTTTCATTTGGTAGCATAATAGGCAATGTCCACACACACACACAGACACACACACGCACACACATACACATGCGCGCACACATGCTAGGACATCTAACGCACTTGCGGTAAAATGTGCATATCTATAACACGTTGCTTTCAAAAATACAGAATCTATCCCAGACTTTCAATGTGGGGCCTCGTCGGGTCCCGCCTGCTGCATTTCTGCTTCATCAGTTACATGCTTTGAATAATTGAAGCGTATTTAGGCCCCCTGTACAGGTTTGTCAAAAGATAAATAAATAAATGCATATATATGTATATAAATTTACGTATGTACATACATATGTATTTGTATATATTTGCATTAAGTAATTTTTTATATGCTCAGCACACAGTATTGAATTATTTAGCCGTACTTAAGCCTGCCAAGGCATTTCTCAGTCTGCCAAATTGCAATTTTAAAATTTATCTGCTGCTCCTCGAGCTCAGCTCTGCCTCTCACATTTTGCTGATTGTTGCAAAAAGTGCAATTATTGCATATTGAGCGTGTTGCATTAGCATATGCCACTGGCAGAGCAGACAGACTCCGCAAAGAGCCTACCCGACTCACTGGCGCACTCCCCGAGTACGCCTGTGCTTGAAATGCCATTTTACTGCATATCCCCAGGCGCTCTTTGAACATCTCGTCGCCGCCTTTTGATTTAGCTCCTCCATGTGAAAAATGTCATATCGCAACTAAAAAACTAGTCCGGCTGATATTTTCCGAGTGCGAACTGAATGAAAGATACCCGGTTAAAAGTGAAGAGCTCTCTTCTTCTATATGAGGACTTTAGCATGAATTACATTTATTTGACTATTCCTAAGTCAATTATCAACAGCATTGGCAGAGTTTTAGTTAATATTAATGTATTACTGTAAGGCATATCCATTTAAGTAAACTTGACAATAGTTAGAACTTTTAGAAAATGTGTTATTTTGTTGAATTTATAACTTTTAGAAACAAATTTTGGTCAAACAAAAATTGAATTGGATTAATATGATTTCAAATTTTAAAATATAAGTGTAAATTACAAATTACACAGTTGGAAATTTCGAATTCAATATTTAATTTTCAACTACTTCAGCCAAGTTTCAGCTGTTAATATACCCATTCTGCAGCTCTGCTCGCGAGGGTAGCTCAGCGCACGACTGTTGAAGGCAGCTCTTTTAAGGGGCCCATCGTTGTTGTTGCCTTTGTGTGCGTCTTTTGTGGCTGTTCGTTGTTTGTTTGCCTGTTTGTTTGGAGGCGGCGACAACAACAACAAAGACCGTAGACGAGCGCTGCCAACTGAGCTGAGCGTTTTAATTGCACTGAAATCAAAATGCTAAACACTTGTTGGCTGCCTCGCGAGTACCGCGGCTCCCGCTAGCCCCACGAGACCCGCGGTCTACTTGGGGAGTCACCCGACTAGGTGTCAAGTAGCGACGCCTCCTCCTGGTGCGGCTGCTGTCTCTTCTCCTTGATTCTAGTTGCTGTTTTGCTGTCGCTTTGTGCCATAACTGAAGGCAGTTTCCGCTTTGGCACTGCACTCACTGCTGCAGCAGATTTCAAGTGTCCGTCTTTCGCTTTGATCATTCGCAACACTTTGCGACACTTTGCTTGCGTGTGGCAGACAGACAGCAAAGGGGCAGCGCGGAAGGCAAAGATCCATTTCAATAGAGGAACACAAAAGAATCAGTCGACGGAAAAGATTGTGCTAAAAACATCCCACATATTGAATGGATACCATCCAATTGAAACCAGGGATGTCGTATGGCAATTTAGTGTCTGTTTCTGCCCAGAACCTATTGATGGGAAATAGGGATACATTGGTTTCGTGAAAATGAATGTAATAGGGATAAGGAGGCGTGGCAGGCCCTATAGACCATATATATAAGCAACGAGCTCTGACGATCGCTTCGATCTCGTAAACAATAAAAGTTCTTTGGCTAACAAAGAACTTTGGGCTATTTATACAAAAGAAATATATTTATATACTTCAAGTAGAGATTTAACAATAGTAGTTGTTGGCAGGGAACAGGGTATCAGCTGGTCGAGCAATCTAACTTAGACCACTGGTACTTCTTATTATTTGAAAACAAACTGCATTGCATCGCATTGTATAGTTAACCCTCTTAGATGTATTGTAGAATCAAAAATACATATTTGTGCTACTATGACTGCAAATATGTTTGTTTTGGGTTCCTCTACTCCTTGAAACAGTTAATCAAAGTGTCATTTATTAACCGAATTTTACACCAAGCTACCGCGAGCTATCGGGAAGCTATTAGTAATTTTTCTATTTCTAATAGACCAATATAATATTAGAGGGAACAGCACTATGGTTATCTATCAATAATATATACTTCTATCGATACTTAACCATATCGATGGCTCTGAGTTAAAGAAGTTCAGAAGCAGTTCTGTGCAAATAATATAATTAAATATCTAAATAAAGTCTCCTATATAGATATGTGTAACACACTCAGCAGAAACTTGTAGGAGTATTTGTTAGGAGGTTTTAATTTACAATTTATTGAATATTTGAGACAAACTTGATCCCTCTGCTACATGGAAACACTAATGAATTGCGTAATTTCGTTTCTTCTATTATTCAATAAAACAACGTAAGAAAACTCTAGTCGAGACTGCCCGACTACGAAATCCCCTGAAACCTTCGAGCAACTGATATTTCAATAATTATTCGCACATGCACACACACACGCACACACACAGGCATACGTACGCACTCATAAACACGCATTGGCTGCAGTGGTGGCTTACTATGGGAACTTTATTGTTTAATAACTTTTCTTGTGGCTGGACTATCTCCATGAAACTCTCAGATTATGAATATAAAATAGATATGCATGCATTTGCCAAAGCACAAGGCTACATTATACATACATTTATTACTGATTTTCGATAATGCTTTTAATCGATAACAAAATAACGGGACAAGCTATCGATTTTTGAAGCAAAAGTCGATATGCGCGTTATATCTTCTGAGATCGACGTGTTCAAGCATACGGACACACGGACAGACGGACGGTCAGACTTAGCTCGTCGCCCTGATCAAGAATATAGATACTTTTAGCAAAACCATTATGCCCTGATTTCCCATTTTCAATGGGTTCAGGGTATACAAAAAAATATTTCGAGAGGCTGTCAGTAAAGCGTTTCAGCCTCGGGCTCAACATGTTAAAAGCTGCAACAGGATTACATACTTCGTTTTTATATAAATGTTGCATTGCCTCAAATTTGTTGTTGGCTGCAACTTAAGGGAATGTGTTAGTTTTAACTGCTGTTGTCTGAAAAACAATGACATCAATAACTAATAGTTATGTGTTTAGTTAAACGAGAGTTTAAGCAATTCTCAAAGCTCAACAATTGTCTAAATACAATGCGAATTCGTGCACAACTTTTGTTGTGTGACAAAAGTTCCTGCTCTTTTTTCTGCTGCTGTATTGCTGCTAACGGCAATAGTTTGTAATCGCGCGCCGTTCTCTAATTAACTTTGATTTGTACACGATGCTAAGCAACAACTGCAACAATTGCAACAATACAAACTGTTCCGCTTACTAAAAAGCACACATACGCTCTGTTGGCCAACTGACAGTTGATGCTATTGCTGTTGCAGCTGGCTTTGCCAGTTTTATTCATTTTCGTTTTTCGCTTTTTCATGACTATCACAACAAGCAAACAATCAAGTAGCTAGTCGAGAGTCCAACAGTCTAACAAACTCGACAAAGCTTTACCTAAAAACTTTTGTTGTGTGTTTTTGGTTTTGTTTGGCGGCATGAGATACGTTTTTGTTTGTTTGTCTTTTTTGGTTTTTGTTTGTTTTTTTTTTTTTTTTTTGTTTGTATGTAAAACATAATTGCAGATTAGTCGCAGCGGAAACATGAAAAACAACAACAATTGTAATCGCTCTGATGTCGCTAAAGAGGAATAAAAAAGCGTGGCTTAAGCCACCAGACAGTAAAAGAGTATTGAGAATAGACAGGCAAACAGAGCCACAAGGGAGCTGGCAAATATATCCACACATTCTTTCTCCCTCTACCACCGTAGCCACTTACCTCCCTCCCTCCCTCTCTATCGTTCTTTTAAGTATTTGGGCAGTCACTTGCCGTTTACCACAAAGATATTTCAATCAATTAAAACGCACCACAAAAAAAGATAAAGAAGGCCAAAAAAAAAGACAGCTCGAAATTGTTTTCTGTGGCAGCATCAAGAAGAAGAGGAACGAGTGGCTTAGATGCTTTGCCTCAAGCACGCTGCAATGCCCGGAAAATAGCTTCGGGCAACCAATGGTACAACATTATGAGCATTGGTGTAGTTCAACCAGTCCAAAATATGACTTTAAATTAAAACACACACACATCCGCACACATACACACACACTCTCACAGATATGAGAGAACAGTCAGAAATGCGTTTCGCCTATTTGCACAACAAACGAAGTTGAAAATGGCTTGGCTCTAGGTAGTAGAACTGTGTAGGTGTGTGAATGCGTGTATGTGTGTCTGTGCACCTATAGGTTAAGCAGTAGCAGACTTGTATACTTGTTGTTGTTGTTTTTATCTCAGGCACTTTAAATGGAACGTAAATATTTGAGCTGCATTGGCCGGCAGTTGGAGGACAGTTGCAGCCGCTCTCTCACCTGAATGCAGGTAATAGTCACTGCTCGGCACCTCGCTTCATATTGATTTGCACAATTTCGGTAGTCGAAATAGTCGGCTTCAACTTCATAGATACTTAAATTGAAATGCATTCCCCCCGCCCCGCTGCTCTAAGTGCCAATGAGGCATGGCTCTCCCTCAATACGATTTCGTTTGCCAATCATTTGAATGATGCTCAGCTTGGCGTGCCCCTGCAAACGAGTGCGGCAATTAATCAACGTGTGCTTTGCAGAATACTCAACCGAAAATACCATTCGTATTAATAAACAACCGGCGTCCTCCTTTGCATTGCCATCCGATTTATAATATTTTCATTATATACATTTGCCTTTCATTTCAGTTCATTGAAGCATTTTAGCTTTCGTAAAGCCAGCCATGGGTATTCTGTTCTCATTCTAATAAATTTCGAATTACTAAACACAGTTAATTTGCCACTTATTCTTCCCAAAAACCATATTTCATATCAGCGCGTTATGTATGTACATATGTCGTAGTGTTAATAAGTCTGTAGAAATGGCTTAGTAATTGTACTATTATTCAAAACACAATGTAATATCAAAATAAAAAAGGTATATACATATACAGGTATGTGTACGTCAGATATATATACATCACAATAGCGAAACAATCTGAACAAATGTTCCACAAATCGATTTATTTCACGTCTGATTTCCTTTTCATATTCCATTCTCATTCACATATTGAAATGCATTCACATATTGAAATTGACTTGACTTGAACTGACCTTAGCCCTAGTCATCTCAGCTGAGCTCAGTTGTCTGAAAGCTTAACTTAACTCACTTAACTCCTTCAGCTTTGTGCAAATTAATTAACTTCTGCTATCGGTGGGGCGGAGGGACGTTAGAGTTTCCTTAAGTGTTTCGCTAACCATTGACAATTATGAGTCTCGATTGCGTTTGTGTCCTTGGGCTACGTATATACCCTATAAATTAGTTACTCGTCGCCTGCGGCCCTAAATACATAAGCATAATTTATGGGCGTGGCAGGCGCCCATGGACACGACTGCTCACTCAGCTCATGCTCACATATTTGCGCGGCATACTTTTGGGCGCCAGACGCGAATAGCTGTGCGGCAAAAGCGTTTCGCGCTCTTCCCTTGCACACTGCTACCCCCAACCAATGCTCCCCTCTCCCTTGCCCGGCCACAGCCCCTTGGCTGCAGTTTTTTGCGGTGTTTGCTGCAGTAAAAGCATTTTGGCACGGCTTTTGTGCTTTTTTTTTTTGCATCTTTGTTAATTTATTTTCATTTTATTGTTTTTAGTTTTTATGTGAGTGTTTTTTGGTAATTTTTTTTGAGCCTGTCTGTGTGTGTGAGTGTTTGCGTATAGTTTTTACTTAAAATATATGTGTTGCTCTTTAATCATAATATATTCACAGTTTTTAATTTAAACTAATGCTTTTTGTGTCGTACATTAATGCTTGAAATATTTGTATTTATATATTTTTAATTGATTTTTATCTATTTTTTGTTTTGTTTTTGTTTATTAATTTTATATTTAATACAGTTTTAAGTATATATATTTACATTTTGGGCTTTCTCTAAATAAGTGCTCAACTTTATTATAAAGTTTTGAATAAATATTAAATTGCTAAATTAAAAATTCCCTTTTTTTTAGAAATCATTATTAAATTCATTATGAAATGCACCTTAATTCATATGCCGATATGTGTGTGTTAATAATTTTTTACTTTTTCTTTTCTTAACCCTGGACTATTGCTTTTGTTTTGTGCGCGTTTATATTGTGTTTGCTTACGGATAATCCAGCCGTGGCTAAATAAATTGCATAAGAATAAAAACTCGCAGCTCATGCGGAAACAAATTAATTGCAACTATATAGGCATTTATTTCTATATACTATTCTTGTGTGAACAATTTGCCCTCCAAGAGGCAACTCAACTAATATATTATTGCACTCAATGTTTCATCTGCTTCAATGTGCCAATCGCCAACCGTCAACAACATTTCGCTCTAGAAGTAACATTCAACATACTCGTAGACACTAACCTAAACCTACGAAGACTTTCAACTTACTTAACCTGCTGCAACTGTACAGTTACACATATATATATATATATATATATATATACATATGGGTAGTATGTATACTCACTGGCTATGCGCTTAACTTTTAAATGTACCTTAGCACTTTTTAAGTATGTTTGCTCTCGCCTCAGCGTCCTATCGATCAACCCTAAATCTTCTGCCTAGCAATTCTAAGCAAGCGCGTGAACGTATACAACAAATAACATGCTTACAGAATAGCCAATAAGTGGTTCTTCTAAATATTTTTCTTCTTCTTCTTCTTCTTCTTCTCTTGCTGCTTCTCTGTGATCTAGAAACCTTAACTATTGTATAACTTGAATTATGTGTGGCTGTGGATGTGCAAGTGTGTGTGTGCTCAGAAAGGAAACTTAATTGTCCTGTATGACCGCAATCATCTCCATCTATCTGACCAGCTGTAACAACAAGAGGCATATGACTAGCCCCAAGCCATTGCGCCCCATGGCACTGGCCCCATCCCCTTCGCCATCACGACATATTTGCGGATGTCGAGTGAAATCCTCGCAGTAGATCTGCAAATAAAAGATCAAAAAGAGAAAGTTTTGGTTTAGCTCTCACCTGGTGAGACTTCTTAAGGAATAAAATAAAATGCTGTTGGGCTTTCTGAAAATGCATATTCGTAATTTGGATGAATGGTATCAAAACCTCACCTTGGTTAAGCTGTTGGCGTATTTATCAACCAGTTCGCGTGTAAACTTGGCCGCCTCATTGCCACAAATTTTACGTGCCGCGTTCTCAGAGCAGTCCACTAACTCGTTAATAGAACTATAAAGTAGATAGACAATATATCTCAATACGGCTATATATTGTAAACATATTAACTAAAGTTGAATATAAAAGTATAATATATATATCCCAACACATTTCAATTTTTTTCATTTGGCTATTCAAATTAAAAGTAAAATGAATGATTTTTTTTTTTAAAGTAAATTGATATTAGTAAAAAATATTTTTATTTTGGTTTTTCTTTTTGGCTCTAGACATAAATATTCGAAAAATGCATTAGCCTGAAATGTAATTGAAAAGAAATAATGGCTCAGTACATTTCTAAATGATTTCAATTGATTTTCGTTAATTTAATTTAAATTTAGAATTAGATTTGAATTGAATTGAAAAAGTAAAACAAAATCACAACTGTAAATCGTTACTCGAGAACAAAGCTGGTGAAATAGTTACGAATAATAAAAAAATAAATAAGAATAAAAAAAATAAAAAATATATGCACATTTCAAATAAAATTTAGGCCATCTATTAGAAGAGTTCATTTACTCCTAAAAAAAATATAAATAAATAACTGCAAGAATCGACCTGCCAATTCAAGGCGAACTAGGGTCGCTGGCTTTTCAATTTAATTTTTTTCTTGGGTTTTTAGACTCAATCATGATAACGATTATCGAGTTGCTGCAAACAAGTTTGACGAAACATTTTATATTTACACTTTCGGAAAAGTTGATGCAGAGCTGAATTGACTACTGAGCTGCTGTCAAACGGGTTTTAGTTACTTTTAATGTGTACGTATGTAATTTGTATTTTGTTTTTGCGCTGGGGGATTATCAGCGAGTAGATCATGTAAAGCTCATTCAGCGAAATGTGAATGCCAAGTGATTAAATGTGAAAGATTAAATATGAAATATTATGAAAACATCACGTGTTGCACTCACCAGCAAATCGTTTTGATGTTCTCGTTCAGCGTGCCGTTCTCGGCGTTCTCCTGGTTCTTGTTGGGCTTGAGGAACACCATGGTCTCCTTGTAGCGGTTGGCGCACACCTCGAAATCCTTCTTGGCCATTTCTGAGCAGGGCGCATGCTTCAGGTACTCTGCGAAGAGCAACACATGAGCAACGGCTGTTGGAGCAGCAGGGCGTGTGTTATGGTGAGAACTTACCCTCTTGGAACTCGCCTTTGTTACAGAGATCTCGTATGAACTGATTGGTGCCATGGTACAGTTTGTTGAACTGGTTGCGCTGCTGCAGATCCATGCAGCGACGCGTATAGCTCTGGATGCAGCGCACGCCCTTGCGCAGCTCGCTGAAAAGGAGCAGCAGATGCGGACACATTAGACAGTAGACATTAGTCATTAGACATTGGATAACAAACATGATGGCGTTAATGCTATTGTTTCAATTCAGACAACTGCGACGGCAACTGCAACTGCAACAATATCAACAACAACAATAACAATGGGAACAACTTACTGACAAAGTTTATCCAATTCCTCCTTCTTGGCAGCGCCAATCGAAAATTCCGACGTTAAATGCAGCATTTCAAGTGGTTCGGCGCACTTGGTGAACTCCTCCTGGCCGCATTCCTCTGACCTTACGACCGCCATCAGCAACGCTGTTTGGCACAATGCACATTTCAGTTCCAGCGAAATTCGAGTACAAAAATGTAACGAACGGCGTGCGGGCGGTGTGTGGGGAACGGAACAGAAGAAGAAGACAAATAAACAAACTGGCAAACAAACAGTGGATAGTGCTCAAGTTGAAAGCTAAAAGGCAATCTGAGACTTGGTGCCGCTAAGTCTCTCACACTTCTGGTCCACTCTACCGTTCGCTCACACTCTTTTTCACTCACTCTCTGCAACTGTCCCTCTCCGACTCACGTTCCGCTGCTGCAGCACAAAGTTGCAAATGTGCGTCAGGGGTAATAAAGTTGGGCATAAGTGAAATTGGCATTTCATAAATTTAAACTTTTCGGGTTTTGGTACACTTCTCCTCACTCTGTTGCTCGTGCTGTCCCCCCTTATGCTGCCTTCCGCCCCCTCTTCAGTGCAGCGCATCTGTCGAAGTCACGCAGCTGCCAATTATACCGACTGACAGTGCTCGCCTGATCACTGCGATAACTGACTGACAGCTCCCAGACGCAAGCCCCTAGACACGGACACGGACACGGACTCGGACTCGGACTCGGACGCAGACGCAGCCTCAGACTTGGATGCAGAATTGGAGTCGGAATCAAAATAGGCCTCAAACTTAGAGTTGGGCTTGTCTGCGGACTCGAACTCTGATAGTTTCACATCTTGACCTTTGTCAGGCCATAAATAATTCACACTCACCCGCCAGCAGCAGCGACATCAGCACCCTCCAACTGCAGCAGCATCGATGCATTTTGCTCTGCGTTTGTCTCCTGCCTTTGCTCTGCTTGTTCTCTGCTCTGTGTTGTTGCAGTTCACGCTTTGCACTCTTTCTCTTTTTGTCTATTGCCGTTTCACCTTGTAATTGCTCTCGTCATTTGCTTCAAGCTCGCTCGCTCTTTCGCTCGGCGTCGCAGGTCTGCCTTGCACACGAAAGAGAAGCACAAAATAAAATATTTACATACTGATAAATCAAAGCAAAAAAGAACATAACCAATGGCTACTAATTGATATGCCTCGAAAAGCAAAAACAACAACTGCAGAGCGCTGCGAGCCGATTACAGAGTTCCCCAAAGGCAATTATATTTATTACTTTGAAGATTTTCTACTGATGCATATTTGTATATTGGAATCTAAAAAACTGCACACCTGAAACATTTTATGATAATTGATAATCATTACAATGAACATATGTATTTAGTCTCTTCTATTATATATACATATATATGTGCTAGGAATACATCTTATCAAATAAATATTAAAAATGATATATATATATATATATATATATATATTATAAGACTATAACAACACATTTTGTAATTCCCTAGAGCACAGGGTATTATACTGCACTCATTCGTTTATTTCATATTTCATTATAATTTAATGAGAAATTTCAATATTAATTGTGCCAAAATTTTGGCATCTGCCAAGCTATATTAATTATTTTGCTGCTAATGCACAACATTTAAACGCAATTTAAAAATTGTTCTCGGTTAAAAGTCTTAAGTGTGTACCGAATCGTATTCTATAAATAATTAAAATAAATATATATATATATATATATATATATATATATATATATATATATATATATATATATATATTTTTTTTTTTTTTTTTTTTTTTTCGTTGTATATTATTATTATTGTGAATGAGCGAGAGCTTAAAAATAAACTGATTTTGTCTTGTCTGGAGAGTAGCAAATAAGTGCAAAGCTCAATGCTCATGAAATATATGTATGTACTGCATATATGTAGATATGATGTTTTATCATACAATTTAATTTACCAGCTCCCCGAATAAACTACATTGAGGTAGTCAAAAGTTGAACAGTAATGAACAAGCTTAAACTGCGTTAGTTGAAAATTGACATAAAAAAAAAAAAGTTTATTTAAATAAATGATAACTAATTATAATTACAGGTAAAATGTTGGTAAAACAACTGCCGCTTATCGTTTATAGATCATTATTTATTGCCGTTTATCGTTTGAATTTCAAGTTATTACTTAGTATAATTTTAAGTAAATGCCGTAGAAATTTGCACTAGAATTTCTAGTACAGTTTACATAAAGATTTGATCTGTCCACATAAGGGAAATATGCTAATATCTGCAATTAAAATATCACGTAAATCAACACAGGCTTGATTAAAGATCTTTAAAGCGATTGCACAGAATTTGAATTCCCTAAGTGTATTTCGATTATGCAAATTGCATGTTATAGTTGATATACCCCACTGAACGCTGTTCCACTCTCTTGGCATAATAGCATAAAACAGAAACGTAGAAAACGTTAAGACAAACGACGAAAATGATTTTGTTTTGCAGTAGGCTTCTGTGCCAAATTATTCATTCTTTTAGATTTCTTTTAACATTTTCTGATGCATATCCATATACAGATTCATATCCATATACATATGTGTATAAGTGTGTGCATGTGTGTGTGTCGCATATTTATTTATATTATTGGGTTTTAAGAACTTTTGTTCACTTAAACATAAACAAATGATACCTCCGTGTTTATCTTCAATTAATAGTAAACAAATAGCAAACAGCAAAAACATACATGTATGCGCACACATACATATGTAGGTGTGTGTGTACATTGGGGAAGGTCAGTTATTAGTTTGCGCGTCTCTATATGTTTTTGCTTTTTAATAGACCTGTGATATTTATGGAGGGTCGATCGTTTGTGATGTTGAGTATAGTAAATGATCAAAAGTGCCAATGGATAATGTGCAATCGCATGCAAATCGAAATGCACAAGTCGAATCATCTTTCGAGCTTGCCAATTGATTTCTCATTGATCAGCTGTGTTTCAATTGGCATTCACAAGGAAAACAAAACACTTAAAACATATTCGAAACGAACGGGAAGATGCGAGAATCAAAATCGAATGACCGCACTTCTTGTTGCTCAAGCAAAATGTAAATGAAAACGAAATTGCAATTGAGCGAGCTTTATTTTTGAGAAAGATCGCAATTTGCTGTTTCCTTGAAAGTGGGCGCCACGGTAACGGGGTGGAAGGGTGCAGCACGTGATGCAAAGAGTGCAAAGATACTGAAAGAATGCAGTCGGACGAGCCTCTCGCCCGCCGCTGCGGTGCAAAGCGATGTGAGGCGATCTGTGTGCTGCCGGCATATCATAGAAATCAGGTTTTCTTAAGACATTTTATGTATATTTTATTGATTGGCAATGCAGTCAAAGTAAAGTTGCTACTGTTGCTTGTGATTGCTTTTCATTTATTGCTTTTATGGCTAGAGGGCGTTCACACCTGCGCGACGATCGGCCACGAAATTTGAAAACACTTTCCCAAGTTCTGAGAGCTGATGTCCAGACGCAAGCGCACCGCGTTGTTCGCCGTCCGAGTAACAAAAACGTACTGAAGAAGCCGCCGCCGCATCAGCAGCAGCAGCAACAGCACCAGCAGCAGCAGCAACGGGCGTCACCCGACCCCACAGCTCAGGCAGCTTCGTGAGTGCACGAACGGCCTGCGTGAGGCGTTCGCTTAACACTCGGCATGCATGTTGCTGGCAACATTTTAGATTGTTGCAAACCGGAGCTGGCAACAGGTTACTGCATGTTGCCAAGCACTTGAGTTGTTTTTGGGTCGACAGCTGCAGTTGAAAATAAGCCAATCGACGCAGCTGTCGCATCAGCTGCCTAAACGTATATTGTTTTTTTTTTTTGTTTTTTTTTGTTTTAGTTTTTTTCCGTCAGCGTGAACTTGATTTATTAAAGAGTTGATAATTTTTTATTTAATTAATTGAATAAGCCAAAGCCAATTGAATTTCCCGTCAAAACGATAAGATTTACTCGCCAGCTATCTCTCAAGCTGATGGCCCCGTCAATAATAAGCCAATAAGCCATAGACAATTGTTGCCAATAATAATTTCATTTTGCTCTGTAAAATATTTGTTGTTGATGTTTGCGTAACACAAACACCACCAACAGCAACAATAACAATAAGAACAGCAACAATAACAGGAACACCAGACATCAGCGTCACTTAGCTTCAAGTGTCGAAATTTACACGTGTGTCCTTTTGTTTTCCTTGTCACGCTCATGTGTTGCCGTCTCGTTCTTACGCCTGCGCCTGTCAAGTGCCATGAGAAGTGGCCGCAGGTTTTTGCTTTTATAATACTCGCATCGCAATCGCATCCAATAGGGTTGTATGAGTAATTAGAGGCAGTAAAACAGTTTTGGTGTTGGTAAAATAATGTTATTAAAATTTTTTTAAAAAATCAATATAGATGTAAAATAATCATAAATCTACATTTAGTATATTAGAGCAGTATGGGTATTCCTTAGTCGAGCAATAATTCATTATTTGTGTTTGCTTTTGTTTGCATTTACTTAATATGCAACATTCCGTCGAGTTGAGCTTTATTTGTTGTGTGCCAATTTGTCACACTGTTTGTTTGTATTTGTTGTAAATATTAACTAAATTAGGCAGCGATTTTATTTGTGTTTTTATGACAGAGATATTTGTAAAGGTTCAGGGCCAGCCCTGAATGTCAAGGCGTGCCAAAATGCCTACAATATAAATATAGATCATACAAATAATAGATTCGATAGGCCCGTTTTGTTGACGAATAGGACCTCAAACACGGACGGACGGAGGTGACTTGCATTCGTCCTTTGTTCGATTGTTCAAGAAACTTTTTACATTTAACGCTTGATGAGCACTTCATAAATTGATTTGAAATCATATTTGTATACTTATTTGAATTATATCAATTATTTACTAAGAAGTTTTCAAGTAAATACTTGAAAAAGACATAATTCTCGTAATCACATTTTAGGAAAATTATTTATCTATCTTATCTCGAATAAGCTTCCGACTGAAATACATAGTTTATTAACTACATTTGGAATTGACGTCGAATTTAGAACATCGAATCATAAAAATAAGGAGGTGGTGTGGCCGGAGAGCTGGGAAATCTATCGAGGGCTCTATCGATAGTATCGATGGAAGTACGATAGATCGATGGAAATTTTTCGATTTCGATCTATCGATGTTGTTGAGCTGGGAATCCATCGATAGTGGCACCATTCGATGGATTTTGGAGCGATGGAAAATTAACAAGTAAGAAGGCTCCAGTCGAGAACCTGAACTCTTTAAGCTGATATTCTACTCATTCTGCACTTCTTTTATGCACACATGCATACACACGCATCCACACGCACGTATATCACGCGCTCTGCTGACTGCGCAGTTAACAGCGACAGCGCTTGGGCTGCGCTGCAGTGTGGGCAATATTATGAGAATTTCTTAGTCGAATAATTTCTCTTGTAGTTGGACTATCTTTATGAAACTTTCAGAGCGTGATCATACAGTTCAAGTATGTGTGTGTCTAGTACTTGAAAGTAGTACTTGAAGGGGGCGTGGTATCCAAAATCTGTAAATTACAAAATCGTTGTATCCATTAACTTTATGTACAACGCAAATTTGAGGTCTCCAGGTTTAAAAGTGTTCAAGTTAGGCTGAAAAAACAAAGTGTACTTTTCGATTATTCTCGATAAAATAGTTATCGGACGAGTTCTGAAAAAATAAGATAAACTTGTACTGCCTATGGTATACACGAGTATGTATGTACATATCTTATATCTTCTGAGATCGGCTTGCTCATACGGACGGACATTGACTCAGCTCGTCGTCCTGATCAAGAATATATATACTTTATGGGGTCTGCGACGATTCCTTCTGCCTGTTACATTCTTTTCGCAAAACCAATATACCCTGATTTCCCATTTTCATTGGGTTCAGGGTAAGTATTCTTGTATGTATTTTACGCGGATATAATTGTAAGCCCTTATGAATGTTAAAATAATATATATGTATACCAACAAGTTATGCAGAATCTGAAAGTGCATTTAGCAAAACAGGTGCGATTGATTCGCACCGACGAGAGATTAAAGTCAACTATAGTCAACACTTTTCTTTTTATGAACAAACCCTAATGGCTTAGTAATCAATATACTAATTGTAATGAATTTGTAATGAATATTCTTATATATCCGCTGTAGGACAAGTTTATTAATATTTGAATAAATCATCCTTATTATAGAGCTAAGTCGATAGTTTTGTATCGTTCGGAAATATCCGGAGGCCTCTGATCTGACAGGTACATAGACGGACGGACATACGGATATGGCTGAATCAATTGAACTCTTCCTCCTGATAAAGAGTACATACATCTTATTCACATATTCATAGTCAGTATTAAAGAGTAGTAATGAATCATCGCACAAATATTTGCAATAAATAGCTGTAAATATCGCACATAACCTGTTAGATAATCGGAAATTTCCCATATGAGCAACTTCAATTTAGATTAGATTGCTTTGTTTAATAGAGCTCAAATTTGTAAAAGCACGATGATAATTATAATTTATTTCAGTATATTTTAATTGTTCGCTGTCTCGATTATGTTTTCAAATGAACAATATACGTTGATTCTTCGATCTGATTATAAGATACTGTAATTATAAGTATTCATTAGAGATTAATTTACATTAATCAGCATTAAAATTAGATAATTTTAATGAAATTAAAATCTTACCTAACTTTACATTCAAATTTACAGTTCATTTACAATTACAAATGCAAAAATAATTTGTTTTTATTTTTTATTTGCATATCACTTAGTCTTATTTACGTTGGCTATATTTACATTTAAAATCTTGAATTCATCAAAATTATTGAAAAATAATTTTGAAATACGCTCTTTCAATTTATTAATAATTTAACAAGTAAAACAATTGAGAACGTTGCAGTCGGGCGTTACCGACTGCGGAATACTCATTCACATCCCATCAGCAATTTAGTAGCTAAGTTTCGCTCTAATACTGAAAAAAATTCAGTTTGTCCCTACTAGGCGTAGACACATAATTTTTGGTCAGTTCGTAGAGCGAACTAACGGTACCCTAACTGCAAAGTTTGAATGCTTACGCTCAAAAAATGTGAATGTGTAAGTTGACCAGCCGTCCTGGAATTCCGGGAATTGTCCCGTTATAAGAGATAATGCCCTGGTGTACCTGACACGAAATTGTTCCGACTTTCTATTGTTTCGATAAAAAAATCGTTATTTTCACAAAATGCAACTCAGAATGTAAACTTGAAAAAGTTCATATCGACGCAAGTGAAAAATTTGTTTTCTTTGTCTATGACTTAATAGCGCAGTCATCACTTAACCTTAACTTACATATATGTGGGCTAGAAGCCAGTATTTATATCTATTTACTGAGGATGGAGCCTTTTAATCCTTCGCCTTCGGTTTGGGTGCGCTAAAAACCTATCCGTATTTGACATTATTATAGTCCATTTGATGCCTATAAACAGTCATTTTAAAGTTTAACCAAATTGAAATGTATTTAGGGAAAATATTATGAATGCAAACGTTAAACAACAAACATAATATAAATGCAAACGTGACTGGACATATCTCGTGCTCCACTTTGGCATTCTTATCACCTGGCAGGTGGCACCTTAGCCCAACGCTCTCTAAAGGGCTAAAACTGGTGCAACAAGCATGCTTTTCTTTTTCTCTTACTCTTTTTTTTTTTTTTTTTACGCCAGTGCATTTTTCTTGGCTCGAAGGTCAGGCCATGCGTATATGTAGAAATATGTGTTTGGTTGGGTTGGGGTCATTACCACTGAATACATGCGTAAGGGTGGCTTCGGCCTGACAGGGTAGGGGTAGCCATTGAAAACAAGATGAAGTTTATTTTATTTGCGTTTGCTGCCAAACAATAAGAATACAAACACACACACAGAGAGAGAGAGAGAGAGACAGAGAGAGACAGAGCAGCGAGCCTCGCATTAAGCGGACGAAAAGCAACAACTAAAGAGAGCTGCACACATCGAAAACAACAAAAGATTCAGTATAACGGTGAAAGTGGCCAGCATGTGACGCGCCGCGCCGGCCTGTGCGTGTGCAAGACAAGGAAAGCGGAACTTTAGGTGTGCGAGCAGCATGGCCATACTTCTATGCTAGTATTGCTGCCGTTGCATGCGTTTGCGTTTGAACTTTGCAAGTTTCGCTTGCTCTGTTTTTTGGTGTTGTTGTTGCTGCCTGGTTTACTGGCCGGCGAGTCACAAGTTCTCCCAACTGTTGATGTTTACAGTTAGCGCTTGGATTTATAAACTCCGCATGCGAAGCACGTAACATTGGACAATTTAAAGTTTAGCACACACTCACACACCCACAGCAACACACATTCTAAAGGCGCGCGGCTAAAGGGCTAAGCCAAGCTGTAAAGCACAACAAGGACCCTTGCCCCATCGATGACAATAAGAAATTCGGCGTTTTCTTCCAAGTATTTACGCTTAGTTTAGCTTTATTAGTTAAGCAACAATGCGAGAGAAAAAAGTTTA